GTCATCATCATGGATCCACAATTTTACCATGGATCCGTTTTGGTATATCCATGTCTCATCCAAGAAAATGAAAAGTAAATCTTCACCACTATCACGCAATTAGAGATACCGCTTTAGAAATTTGATTCTGGTACCTATTTAATGTGAAAATCTTCGCCTTCGGAAACCTAAATTTATACGTGTACGTATTACGTACAATTATTCTCCAAGTCGAGTATTTTCCCTTTTACAAAACAATAACGATTATATAAAACTTAAAAACCAATTGTAGAGCGGACCCAACAAAGCATGTAGGTATACCTACCTATAAATCTGGCCAGTCGTCTTTCTGATTCTGAGTATAATATTAACGACACCGACGCCTTTGTATCCGTATTATTTTAAAATTCGAAAAACACTCGAGAACACTAGCGAACTTTACGGAAAATATTTCTGCCACCAGTTTTAACTGTTTCCGTTTTACCCAAGCATTGTCTATTTTTCCCAGTAATTTTTTCAAAACCACGAAATATTTCTTGTTTCTTTTCCTTTAAAATGCGCTTTCTCGTGACTACTTTTGTGGAAATTGTTTCCACGCTGTATTTAAGGATTTTCTTCAAACGAAGCGTGTTGAAATTAGAAAAACTTCGTTTTTTTCCAGACAATTCAGATTTGACATTTGAATTAGAAAATTAGACAGTTGATACCAATCTTTAATTTCTAGTCTTAAGATTGCAACTTAACCACAGAAAAATTTCTGTTAGCTACTTCTACCGAACGTGAATGCTTATTAGTTATGTGACCCAACTTAATAAGTAATCAGTCCTAATAATAATTGTTGTTTATCTCAAGAACGGATGTTCATTTAACCATAAGTACCCATTTTTGGGTTCCACCCACTAACTGATTTTTGTAATACGATTGCCCATCCTGTGACATCACATTTGAAAGCCATTAGTCAGGATGGCCACTGTAGTAGGTATTAGCATCATTTCTTGAAATGAAGTTAAAAATCTTTTTTATTCGAAAAAATAAACTGAACAACCCAACAAAATTTTGGAAGGTGGTAAAAGTAATACCATTTTTTTTTAATTGGTCGTAGGTTATTTCGACAGAACTTCTTGCCCCTGAAGTGCAGTAAAAAAGACCCAACTTTTTCGAAAAATTATAAAATTTAATTTTGTCAATTTTATTTTTAAATACATATAAAATCCGACAACAATCGGTCCGGTAGGTTAGAGGATTATCTGTCTAAGAAAAGTCGACGCAACCACGGACAGACAACAGATGCCAGACGGCAGACATCAGATGACAGACAGACAGACGGAAACGAGAGACCTATGTTTTCGTATTCTAGGGGTCGTGAAACGTCGATAAAACATAAAAGAAATCGAGTACAATTCCTTTTTAGCTTACACTTGGGAAGTAAAAACGCAGAAAATTTTGGACTACTTAAAAAATATACACACAAACGCCAACCACAAGCAATACAATTTGGAATAACGTACCTATAGGTACTACAAAATAAACATAGAATTTTTTCCCACCGTAAAAACAATGTTTAACGCATATTTTTAAGTGTAACCTTGATAAAATACTCAAAAACGTCAAATTAGATAATGTATTAGCTATAAGGGTAGCGTTATCGTGTCATCTTTAACATATGAAGTATTCTAAAACGTGTTTATTATTAAGTCAACAGAACCAGTCAAAGATTTTTTTTTATTTTGGAAAGAAATCTCAATTTTTTTAATTGATCGTCGACGTTGGTTATAGTCATATACACTTTTGACAAATTCTTAAAGAAACGGAAGAGTTAAAAGTTTATATGAATTTTAAATAAGTGCAATTTTAGTTTTTATATACCTTTTTTAAAAATGTTTGAAAATACAGGATATTTCAATGCAAAGGAACCACCCGAAACCTCCGTACTAATTTGTGTTTAAAAAAATGTCCGTCCTCATAGCTTTGACAGTGCTCTATCAAGGTGTGGTTGGTCGCAATCAAGAATTTTTCTCAAATTTTTTATTGCAGTTATTCATTAATTTAATAACTAGACTTCATAAGAACGAAAATGCATGAACAGTAAAAACGTTTCGGTTGCATATACCCAATAAAGCTTTATAATGTCATAATGGAGGGATTATAGGCATAATGGAAAGGACGATTGCCACTACAAACCGGCACGTGCAAGCTTTAGCAACAAAGGAAACTTTGACTGTCTCACAACTTATGATTTGAATGAAGCTTTCAGGTTTCAATTTCTAAAAAAAGAAATTAATTTTCGGTGTAACAGCTTGGAGAATACGAAAATGCAAATTTTCCGTTGGTATTTTTTTCGGAGATTGTTCATGACATATTTACACAGATATCTAATCTTCGAAACTATTGAAAGATATTTTGGAATTCTTGATGTATTTTAAAATATCATTAAAATAAGTATAATCAAAATATTATACAGGTAAACAGGAAACTGCATAATATTTTTTCATTCTGCTAACAAAATTGATGATGTTATCTAAGAAAATTTAAGAAAATATATTTGTTAACAAATTTATAGTGAACTATTTTAGTGTGTAATTTGATCTTCCTATTTACAGTTTCTACTATTACTTTATTTATTTGATCAGACGTTTCTGTAAAGTTACGGTTATAATGTAACATAGTAGATGTCAAAATTATTCTTTTTATTTCCATTAAAAGAGAACGTCTTCCAAAAAACTCAAATACATGCTCTTAAATCTGAATACCTACCATACCGACATGAGACAGAAAAAATATAGAAGGTTATTTAAAACAAATATATTGTTTCGTTCAAAAAATTGTAAACTTTATTTTATTTAACACTTTAGAAAAAAATACTTCTTCAAAAAAAATATATTCCTTATTACCTTATTTAATATTCATTCTTTGACGAAATATGTATATAAAAAAAAGTTATTATTTATTTAGCCTTGAAAGATTATTATTTGCCTTGAGAGATTAGCAGATCTGGTGATCATAGTTTACATAATCAAATCTTCTGGTAAATTTAAACTGAAATATAGTATTTTTCAAAAATTGGAAAAGCAATAGTATCTACTTAATTACCTATAATTAAGAACATAATTAATATTGATTTATTTTTTATATTATTATTTCTTCGTTAAGTAGTAATCAATTTAGAAAAAAGATTGCGAAAGAAGGGTAACTTATTTTCATGTCGTTCCCAAATTAACATTTTTGCACCTTGTCTACAGCATAACTAATTTCTGAAACAGATAACGATTATAAAATAATTACACTTTAAAATTAATTGAAATAGGAGCCGAGGAAGTGAGTAGGTACACTTTTTTAATAATTTATAGATACAGTTTTTCCCTTTACTTCTTTATTCTCACGATTTAAACGATAATGTTAGGTGACAACATTTTCTTTATTGGACATGTGTGACTATTTCGGTTGATTCTTTCAAATATTATTGACACTAATAATTTTTGTTATGCATATTATGTGCGTTCATCTATACTTTTAAAATAAGTCGCACCATATAAGGTTGTCATAAAAGAAACTTTGAAGATGCTGCAGCTATTGCATAAGTTAGTTATAATAAATATTTAACGTATCAAAGTGTAGTGTTCATTTTTAATTTTTTTTGTGGATTTTTTAGGCACAATTGGTATAAATATTTATATTTTTATTTGGCATCGATTTAGTTAAACGTAAAAATTCATATATCCTGGTTTTATTTTGTTTCATAATATTTATTCAAAAAAGAAAAATGTATTATAGCAAAACAGTGCAGAACATTTCATATTATTTCCTTAAATGTATCCCGAATATGAACGATTGTTTTATCTAATTTTCCTCAATTTTTATTGTTTAAATATCAGCTGCAGAGTTTTATAGGCATTTTTAAATTTGTTAGTGATCTGCCGTGTTAAATTTGAAAAACTTTAACATTTTCTACAACATAAAAAGTATATCAATGTTATTTTATTTATCTGTTTTATTTGGATGGAATTTTAAAATTCTGTCATACAAACTAACACCTAAAATCTAATAATAGAAACAGTATAATTTTCCGTGTTTTCTCTCAATGGATAAAAAATATTATCTCTTAGTTAAGTACACAAGTTTTTCTTGTCAAAAATTTAGTATTTATTTGATTTTAGAGTTAAATATTGACTAAATAAAAGTGATAAGAGTAACAAATATATGTTTCTACACAACTAAGAAGTTAACGAAAAATATGAGGCACCTCTTCAAACAAAACAATCACTCTTCTCTTTATTTACTCTCGAAATATTCTATAGAGTAAATTAAATTGATCTAAACCTGAACAAATAGCACCTAAGTACTTTATCGCCGTCCAACTACTGATAAACCATTTCCGTATTTATACACAAAACAGAAATAATCGTTGATTCACGGTTCCTTGTAGGTATATTTTTGAAAATGTACAGAACGTGTGTATATTAGATAATGCTCGGCTTTGTACAGATATAAATGTTCATTCTTTCGTTTATCACTCAACAAACACCTTGTCTTGGGAATACACACAACAAACACAATGTTATTGTTGATTTCATAATAATAAAAAATAAACGTCTACTTAGTACTTGGAGCTTTTACATTACCAACAGATTAAATCATCCGATTACAAGAAAAAAATGTTTGCTTTTGATTGACCGATTAGCTCGACTTTATCAACTCACCCCTATTATTTCCTAAACGGAGTTCCGGAGCATTGTTTAAGCATAATCCATAAAATACAGAGACGCCTCCCCCTAATACGACGTTATGACTTTATTAATATGCCGCGACTAATCCACCCCTTATAAAAGGAGCCATAAGGCCCATTTTCATGGGGCACTCTGTTATCTTTTGTAAAACAGACGACCTGCTTTGTAGTACAGAATCGCTTTAAATCTCTGTTTATTGAGATGAGGAGGAGCGCGGTTATTATTCAACCCCAAATAATACGTGTGGGAATTGTCGCGCTGTCTAAATTAATTCATGGGGGTTGCAAAAAACCTTACCTTAATCTCTTGGCCTCATCGATGAAGGGTCTTTTTTCGGATTCACTCAGCAATTTCCATTCGGCTCCCAGGCGTTTCGAAATTTCCGAATTGTGCATTTTGGGGTTTTCTTGGGCCATTTTGCGGCGCTGCCCTCTTGACCAGACCATGAAGGCGTTCATGGGCCGCTTGATGTGCTCTTGGTTGTGGATGGGCTTTGGCGAAGACATGTTTCGAATTTGTGTGGCACTTACTGTCACGATTTTTTCAGGGCATTATTTTTAGGGGTTGTTTTTGGCACGTGTTGTTGTGCAGAAGTGGGATTAAGATAGTTTACGCAACTTGCACTGGCTTGTGGTAGAGATGGACTGGCACCACGCTGGGTTCTGAAAGACTTCCCCGAGCTTGTTGATTTAGAAGGGAGGGAAGAGCATGCAAGGGGGCGGGATATGCGCGTGAATTATACAAATTTCGGCCCCCAATCCGACCGCAGATAATAGATAAACGACGTAGATACACGTAAAAGTCACCCTGGATGTCGTTACAAATCTGACACATTTCTATACCGAACCGCATCCTTTCAATTTTTTTTTTTTATATTTTTACCCCACACAATTTTTGCACTGGAATGTAAAAACTGCATTTTTATCACGTACGATTATGGCATTTATTTACTCTTTTTACAACTATTGTGTGTTTATTTAAGTGTATCTGACACGTATCGCGGCGTTAAGTTGTTAAATAAATTTCCATGTCTGGGGTTAATAGTTAAATGTTGTGTGAAATTACAAACGCCGGTTTAATTTCCGTTTAGCGAAATTGAATCTGCAACCGGATTTAATAGGCCTGTAACACAAGAATTGGATTAGTGGTTTATTTTCTCAGGTTTGAATTCTTGAACACTTGTTGCTGTCGCCATAGGATCGTCCCCCACCATTCACATCGATTGTTTAAACTCCGCCTATTTTATTTCTCATTGGTTGAGATATCTTCTAATGATATCAGTATATCTTATAAAACTGAAGTCTGAAACTGAACTTTGAAACAAGCTCGATGGGGGTACTTGAGTGTTACAGCTTTAATTATGGATCTACCTTAGCCAACACGAACATAACTTTTTTATGTGAGTCGTGGGTGGAGAATGGTATTTTATCTCTCATCGCAAAACTTTTCAAGTTTTTATTATTATTTGATTATTAATCATGTGGCAATAAATTGTATACAATTTTGGACATTGATTTATTATAGTGCACTTTAATATTTTGTCCTAAACTATATATGCGCATTTATTAATTTCTACTGTTTTCTAATTTATAACTACATAAACACACACAAACAAGTTTTGAAAATTTTTTTCTGATTTAAAAATCTAAACTTACCAGATAATAGTTTCCGGTTATTTTCGTAGTCCAACTAACTTTTATTAAACGACTATATATCTACTTGTGACCAAAAATGTAATGAGTTTTTATTTTCCATGCAGTAAAAAAAAATGTTTGTCATCAAATGTGTTGATACCCAAAGATGTTATTTGTAGCATTTGTCACACAATTCATTAGAAACTAATAATATCGGATAAAAACAGAAAAATATTTTTACGGCACACTCTAATTGGAAAACTTTTTAATAGCACAAAGTTAAAGTAGGAAAACTAAGAGTTTACTTGTTTATTACCTAAAAGTGACTTCTTGTAAATACGAAACAATTTATTTAACATTAAAATATCACTAATGAATAATAGATAATAAGGTGCAATCCGTAAAAATCCCTATTTCGTCGTCTGTAACACCTAATGATGATGCGAACAGTTATTTAACACCAACTTTAACACTATTATTATTTTTTATGCAATTTTTGAAGCTGTTACAATTACTTGAATTACATTCAAAAATGTTGTACAATCGTAAGTGTAAGATAGTAACGTTGGCCAGATTACTCTTATGAAAATGTTAGGTATACCTACCTATTTAAGCATCACAAATACCTATAGGTAAATAAAAAATATGTAAGAAGCATTTATTAGGTATTAGAAACATGATTTGATACCAAAATCATACGAAGTCATTAAAAACAAGTACTTTAGAATAGCTTATTTTTTCTGTTCTAACCCAAGTTTTAGCTTATTTGGATAATGATGGAAGAAAAGTAGGTACCCAGATAAAATGTTCACAGAATGTGGCATTTTTAATTAGTAAACGTTCAACGCTATTGAATGACAAAAATGGTTTTACAACTTTGTTGGAAACATTTTATGTTATTTCTATCTATTCAAATTCAGATATCTTATTTTCAAAATTTTTGATCTCCCGTTTTTTTTGTTACCTACCGTGTATGATTGGTATAGGGGAAATATAATGAAACATCTGTTAAAAAAATATCAATGAAAATTTAGGTTACAATTTGTTTTGTAGTTGAAGTGATTGACATTTTATTTGTTTTTTGATATCAGTTCACAAGTTAACGGGGAGGAGGAGCTGTCTTTTGAAAAGTTTTGTACAAAAATTTGTTAGGTGGGCGTTCGTTTTAGAATAATTGCGTCAATTGCGATATTAATCTGAAAAGGATTTATAAGTGACTGTGAAATTCGATAATTTCGAAGTTTAATTTCATTAATTTTAAATTCTAAAATTTCAGAACAAAGAGCGTAACACTTACTTTAAAAGTACATATAAGTATATATTTACATTTAATTAAAATATTTAAAAAGTGTTAACAACTCGATTCATTGTTTCTTGTCTCCTTTAATATGTCAGTATAATTATTTCGACCCTGAAGTACAATAAAATATATCCAGCTTTTTTGGAAAATTATAAAATTGGTTTTGGACATTTTATTTTTTATAAGAACTCGTAAATTATGTATTGACAAGCTTTTATTTTGTCGAGATGGTTCAATTTATTACTAAGGACAAACATTACTTTACGTCGGACTAATGTGTGAAAGGCATAACTATTATAAAAAAATAATACCTAAGCAAAAAAATAAGGTAAGGTTATATAATTACACGCATTTTCTGTCTTCGAAGTACCTATTGTATACATTTTACGGTATATTTTTTAATAGAAAAATTGAATAATTTCACTTGAGTTCCGTAGGTATGCCTTAAATTGGTGCTAGTGTTTTATCAAAATTTCAGAGAAAGATATTTTATGTGTTCACCCTGCATTCGTACAGAGTGTATTTTTATTTGATACAACCCCTACAACTTTTTTTTTTGAAAATAAGTCCTCCATTCTTTTTACAAATTTGTATCGCACTAGAAGAAATATTTGGTGGTAAATACATTCTTTAATTTTCACTTTCGGTAACACTCGAAATGACGTCAATTTTATATCTTTAAATGGAATACCCAGTAGGTATATTTTGCATGTTTGCATGTTTGACCACAAAAAATCATTAGCGACTAATATTCTAAAGTTAATAATAAAAAAGTTATTCAGTAAAATAGATGACAAATTATATTTCTTTATAAAAATCTAGTAGCGTGAAAAATTAACAACCATGTTTCCTTTCGTACAGTTTCATTAAATTTAGATAAAAAACTTTTTTTTTGATCAACAAAAACCATCATTAAATAGAATACAGGCCACTTCAAAACGAAAATTTAATTTTTGAATGTTTTTTTTTTTAAACATCCAAAATAAGTAGCAGAGCAGGTTAAGAATTAAATTTAAATATAGTAACAAAAGTACAAGTATTTTTTAGAACAAACTTTCAAACATCTCTACATTTTGTTAATACACTTTTCCGTACGTCTGTGATCGCTTCGTTATAAACTGTGAGTATAATGGTGTACAGATCACTGACGCGTTGTTTCAAGAGATCTTTGTCTCCCAATTCATCAAAGTATAATCATTATCTTTTATGGAACTCCAAAGAAAATAAGCAGTGGGGTTTAAATCAGGCAGTCTTGGAGGCCACCTTATTGGGCCCCATTGAACATCTATATATCTTTTCTTTTTCACTTTAAATAAGTTTAAACTGACTTTTTTTTTTTAGTTATCAATAATTTGTTTCAAATATGTATCTCCTATACGTTTTTTTCTTGTTCGAGTATAATTCGTCGAACTTTGGCAAGTGCGGTTCAACCTTTCGTTGCATTTTTTATTAACATGACCATACGAAATTATCATTATGAAGTTTTCCAGAACTTTTACAACCTTACTGTTTTGAGCCATTTCAACAATGCTAAAAGTACAAACATTCGAACAATATGTTAGTTATAAATGTAAAATGTCAAACTGGCAGATCAAACACTTATTTTTCAAGCATCTAGATTTGAATTACGAGTATTACATAGATAGTTTGTGACTTATTTTACTAAATAACTTTTTAACTATTAGGTACTGATTTTATAGTATTGGATGTATTAGATTTTTTGTAGTAAAAAGCGCTTTCCATTTATAAAAAATATACCGAGTGTTTCCTGTAAAAAAATGAAGTTGGTGTCATTTCTGGTTCTGTCGGAAGTGATAATAAGAGGGTGTGCTTATCATCAGGCAAATATTTTAAAACTATACAAATCTACTGAAAGAACTAAAGGTTTATCTTTCAAAATAAAAAGTTACAGGGATTATAGGTATAATTATGCACTTTTATTTATAATCAGGCAGCTTGACTTTTATCTTTTTCATAATAAATTTAAATTATACTTACTATATACATATACTACGACTATTTGAAATTAATTAGCACCTATTCAGTACTAAACAAAAAATTAAAATTTTAGTTTTCTTCAAAAATGATGATATACGTAGAGGACAAATTTTAACAATTAAAAACTCCAAAAGTGGCAATAAAAGTACTATGTATTTATGTTTCAAAAATTTTTCACAAAAAGTAAAAATGACTGGTGTGTTGATTTGATCTTAATCATAAAATTGTAAATAAAATTAATTCTTATTAAATTTGGTTACGACATAAACTACTCGCACGAAAAAAAAAGTTGACCATATTTTTGTAGTTGCAGTTGTTTCAGGTCAGTGTTAAAATTGTTAACATTAGATGTATCTAGATACAAATAATTGCCTTTTTTTTAAGTTTATTCGTTGTTTATTGATGCCAAGCTCACATCACAAATTATAGAATCGTCTACTCTAACTGGTCACTTGGTTCTGACAACAAACACGTCACGTTAATGGATATGGATCAGTTGCACGCCCCGGTTAAAAAATGTACCGTAATCCCATAGGATTATACGTGTATGTATTAGTCACTAAAAAATAAAACTGTTTGTTGAAAAATTACTTTATAGTTTTACATATCCACACGAAATACTTTCTACGAATCTGCTGATCTTCTTGTTTTTATACATAGTAAATAAATAAATTAAATATATAAATCTATTAGCATACATTTCTTTCAAAAACATTGAAGACTGGAAGAGTCTTCGAATGATGATCACTCTATGATCCCCTATTTGAGCGCAAGTGACCCTTTTTGGAATTAATCGAGAGACATGGGATATATTGACCGCCACGCGCAAGTGACCAACATCCAAAATTATTTAAATAGAACTTCCCATGCCTCTTAAGCACAATCAATTCAACAAATCTAGTTTCTTAGATAAGTT